ACACATTTGAAGGACAGAAACACCATTATCCTCTAATCCAGCCCATTTATGATGAGCCATAAAAATTTAACGTGGTAATTCCTACATCAGGCCCTAAATCCTATTTAAACAAAAGTGTATTCTTTAGATACAGGTTGATACATCAATACTGACACTACAGAACTATGCCCAAAGTACTTCTGATTCCCTTTACAAATTATACATTTCACATCATGGAGACAACCATGACAACAAACCAACTGAAAAAGCAGACTATTTTCTGTCACTCAAGAGAACTATCATTACATCTTACTCTGCCTTTTTCAGATTTGATGGAGGACGAATAGCAAGACACCATGGAAAACTTTCAAAGCTGTCCTTCAAAGTTCTCTTTTTTTCCTACCTTAAGAAAAATTAAGCTTTAAATTCATACTAGTTGTCTATAGAAAGGACATCGAATTAATACATAGTTCCAATAATTACTTTGGCTACTTTATGCTTTTTCAGTCCTTATTGGATTTCAGCAGTTAAAATATAGCACTGTGTTTCTTATGAATTTATATAGAGGTTACAATAATATACATTTTATAACAGACTAATTATTTTCTATGCTGCAAAATCATTGATGGGATTATGATTTTGTCTTTGAACTCAATTTTGTAATTGCCGTTATAGGATCTTGCTTCACATAACAAACTAGCCTGTGGTCATGTCACTTTTAAGATGGTACTTTAGGGTTTCCCAATTTGCTAGGTCATCTCTCTTCTTTGGTTCAAGCTAATGGTTTATTTCAGGAATATGGCAAGACAACTAATCACAGATTTACAAGAGAAGGTGATAACATTATTGGAAGGAAACCAGAGCCTTAGGAAATGGAAAGAGGTCGGGAGAGAAAATATAAAGTCATTATGGGAAAAAAAAAACAGGGATATGACCACAGCCTTCCAAGACAAGAACAAGCTTGCCTGGGAAAAGAATATAACTCTCTGGAAAAAAACCATGACCCTTTGGAGCAATGTCAAGACCCTACTAATAGATGAAGAGGAGGTCTGGGGAGAGGATCTAGACCAATGGAAAATTGTGCTGGACTTTTGGAAGAAGGAACTGGACCTTTGGAAAGAGGAACAGGAATTTCTTGGAGAGTAAAAAAAACATCCACAGAAGAAAACACAACCAGAAACCAAAGATGAGGCACTTGCATGCTTAGAGTGAATTCTGTCATCTTAAGTTAATAAAGCATTGACTGGTCTTTGAAATCCTCAGTCCTTTGTTTCCAGATTTCCTCTGTTGACCTTTTCAAACCTCGGTTAATTGTCTCTATTTTCTCTGATGTGACAAGCACCATTTGACTGTCTGGTCCTAACTCACTAGCAGGTGGATAATGTTGCTAAATTTTACCTCCATCAAGGATAAGTCTTAACCATCAAATTTCTACCCCTCCTAATAAAATGATACTGAAATTTTGTTAGTGTTAGTAATTCTCTTTCATTAAAAATTAGTAAAAATGGTGAATATACTTAGTCAGTTGTCTTTTAGACTGCAAAAGAAAATTAACTCCAAAACCTTTTGGATTTACAGTTGTTCATGCACATAGGGAGGTTTGGGGCACTGTCCATCACAAAAAGATGCGAAACACGTACACACCATCTTGCTCAAGATGTACGTAAGGGATGAAATCTAGCAGATAATGGAAGACTGAAAAGAAAGAGGATACTGCTTAGAAATAATCCTTTCACTACTCTGAGTCCCATAATAGCATTCACTCTCTAGAAGTGATTAAAGTGCTCATTTATACATTATAATTCATTCCTTTTCAAGGAAGTTACAGAAATCAGGTATATGATCCACTTTCCCACTATCTTCTACTTAGAATTCGTAGTTATGACAAAGTATTTTGGAATAAGTGAAAAGGGGAAGGAAGAGGAGAGAGAGGGCAGTGGAGAAAGAAGGCAAGCCAGTCTGATAAACACATAAATGACAGGCAGAAAACATTTCTATAGCAAAGCTGAGCTGACTGCAGAGGGTGCTTTGACCTCTGCAGTGTCTGGATGCTCACACCTTCATACAACTGAATTGCATATTCCCTTGAAATCGTACCTCTATTCTTTCAAGAAAGGAATACAGCTGCCTGATTCTCCCTTCCTCATACTCAAAATGAGCTCAGATAATGAAGCACTAATACTGAAGTTTCCAGAGTAATCTGGGAGAGGGACAGAGAAATGAGTTCCTGAAGGTTCACATAGAAAAAATGATGATGATTGATCAAACATTGGTGAGTTGCAAGGGAGAAGGAAAACAGATTTAATGGAAAAAAAAGATTGTCCCTAGATACACAGAAGACTATGTACAATGGTGTAAAGACTTTTGTTCACTGGTAGCTGTTCTGTGGGACTATTCTTTAATAATGAAGCACAAAGTACTTCACACAACACTGTCTACTCAGGAGGGGGCTTGAAATCAAACCTCTGACTGGATAATCCATGTTCTTCTGCTTTTAATTCCAGTTTTAGTCCACTTATCAATGTGTCCAATTAGCTTTGTCCCACTATGCATTTCTGGTTCAAAGTTTCTGAGCAGTAGAGTCAATTTATCTAGATATAAAGAAGATATAAAAGTTATGCAGGAAAACCCAAGAATGGGTCAGTAGTACATAACCACAGAAAATTTTAAGACTTAAAAACTGCTTAAGACAGCTAGAACATAAAATACAGAAAATTAATTTATTGCAATGAAAGGAAAAGACAGTTTTGTTCACTTCTAGGCCAAAAAAAAACATTAAAAAAAATTCCTCATTTAGCACTGTGAACAATCAAAATGACAGAGGAAAACAAAAAGGTAACAACCACAATAACTGAGAACAGCCAACATAGGAAATTTTAGTCAGACATGACATAATCACATAGTAAGAGCTTTTCCTCCTGCATAACACAGCCCAAGGAGTATCATCTGGTAAACTTCTTCAGTAACTGGTGTTGAAACAAAGTGTCCCTTTAGAAAGAAATTCAGTCTTCAACTGCTTTAAGTCATGAAGGACCACATGTTTTGGTTAATACTGAATTAGTTTAAGAGTATACCTTTGATTTTCTGAAGGTGAAACTGTGATAAATAAAGACCATGACTTACAAACTCTATCTTTAGGTTTGAATACTCCTACTTCATGATGCGTTTGCCTTCAGACACATTAGATCCAGTCCTGAGAGGTAGCTAGGGCCAACAAATAAGAAGTAAAACCCATATAGTGTGACCTCACAACTAGAAATTATTAGAAAGCTACTCTGCATTCTAGAACTGGCTGTGTTGGTTTCTGAGCACCTCACCTGCAGGATGCAAGCTCTGCTAACAAAGGCAGCACAAGTGTCTTCAGTGTGACAGAAAAGCAGCAGGTTAGTTACAATATAGAAAATATTTACTCATAATACTGACAATTTAATTTATAGGTAAAAAGAGTAAGTAAATTAGTCTTTAAAAAAAAGTATCTAATAGGTTTTAAAAACTAATTATTGAAATGTAACATCACAAGGTACTGAGAGATACTGAGTGCAAAACGGAATCTGCTAACCACTTCATTCTGGGAAAGGTCTTTTGGAAACAGGTCTCATGACACATGTTCTTAGGAAAGCGTACTCTGAAATACAGTTGCAGTATCTGGATCTTTGTGGGCCAAACAGACTTCAGTAGTGAATCTGCCTGGTGTTCACTCTCTCTTCCCAGAAGCAGAGTTCATGGATATATCTAAGATGTTCACTGCTTGTTGGCAAAGGCAGATTTTTCTCACAGTCATTACTTCATACATTACTTATAGCAATAAGTTGTTTTTTCTTATACATTGCAAATAATATAATATTACTGGATCAGTTAACTCCACTTTCCAAACAACACAGTATAAAAAGAAGTAGCTAAAGTGTAAATTACATGGGATTGCACCTCTATTTTACCATTAGATTACCATACCATTATAACAAACAAGACTTGCCTTGTATATCCACAGACACATGCACTCACATATGCTAACAGAAGTAGTCTATGGAGTGAAAAAATGTCATTAGTTGCAAGAGTTCAGTGTATTTCATTGAATCATTAATTCATAAACCTTACAAAATAAAGTCTAAAGCAGAAAAGATACAAAATTTTTTCTGGAAGAAGGATCAAAAATGACAAAGCAGATTTAAACACCTGTGCAAAGAATTCATATCTTCTCACAGAGGAGAATTCCTAGGACAAAGACTTCTTCCCCTTGCATTACACTCATGGTACTATTAAACTACAAGTACAGGTGTAGAGGACAAATATTTGTGTTAGTCACAATTTCCTTTAAAATTAAGGCACACACTGGCCAGCAACCGCTGAACAAATTTGACGATGCAAACAGCAGCACAGTTGTAAGCTGTTCAGTAAAGAATTGGTGATTATACCATAATCCCCAAATGACTGTGACTAGTGACTATGAATGGCATGCTGTAAGACAAGCTCCTTTTAAGTATGTCACATTCAATTCTGAAAATAGAGGTACCCAAATCATGTCACTTCAGAAAATCATTCATCGTTAATTTTTAATAACCTGACTCATACTGCATTTATGGAATGACCTGATTAGTTTTATCTGAGAATTTCTTAATGTAACATAGCTTAATTATAGTTCATGGAATTTATAGCTAACACTACATGCTTTTGTATTCTTTCAGTTTGTTTTAGGGTTCCTAACAGTGTCTTTGCACACCTTCCCTGTTTCACTGGGAGAAGCAGCCAGCATCCTGCATAACGGTGCATTTGTACTTGAAGACTTCGTTGCTCCACCCTGTCAGATCCAAGCATCCAGTTTCTATAGTGCCAGTTATAATCCAAATGAAAGCAAGCAAAATCCCAATCAAAGGATGGAGCAAATAAAACAAAGTAGTGAAATACCTGCTTTGAATAGTAATTCAAAGACACAGAATAAGAATTTCCAGGCAAACTTGTCCAACTTCCGGAAGAAGCAGCTTTGCAGGATTTTGAAAGAAGAGAAAAGGGACTTCAAGAAGGAAATGAAAGCCTTCTGCAAAGCCAATAAGAATTTCCATGAAGAGATCAAAGCCTTTCAGAAGGAGCCCAAAGCCAAAGCCTTATGGGAGGAAATAAAGATCTTCCAGGAAAAGAACAAGGCTCTCATGGAAGAGATCAAGAATATTTTAGAAGAGAGCAACAGCTTCCTGCAGAAGATTAGGGACATCCAGATGAAAAAAAAAAATTTCCAGGAACAAGTTGGTAGCATTCAGGAAAAGCTTGAAGAATTTTGGAAGAAAACGAGGGCTGCTAAGGAGGAGATCAAGGTTCTTGAAGAAAAGAATAAGGCTGGTCAGGAAGCAGTCAGGGCTTTCCTAAAACAGAATCAAGCTATCCAAGAAAAGAATAAAGCCATGTATGAGAAGAACAAAATCCTTCAGGGAAAGAATAAAGCTCTGCAGGGAAAGAACAGGGCTTTCTGGAAGGACTATATTGCTTTCTGGCAGAAGAACAAGATCTTCTGGGAGGAAGAGTTGGCCATATCAAGTAGCAAACTGATTCTCTGGGAAGAATTCATAGCTTTCAGGGATAATGACCAGAAGATTCAAAAGGAAAAAGGAGCTCTGTGTGACGAGAATTTTTCCCTCTTGAAAAATGCATATATTCCTCCGGGAGAGGAGAAGCTACCTGAAACAGAAGAGAACAATCTTTGTGGCATTTATGGCCCAGCTGTGGACACTGGAAATGAAACATCAGAGTAAATCAAGCAGATCTGAAGCACAACTTCACTTTCTACCAGAACCTAAGTGCCAAAACACACACGGGCCTTACTTCTTTCACCCTAGAAGCTTGAAAGGGTCATGAAGGAACTTAAGATCTTTTTTTTTTAAAAAAAAGTTCAGATTATTGTTTCAGATTTATTAATGTGTTTGCTTATTTTTTCTTATTTGTTTCTTATTTCTTTTACCTTGACTTCCAGGTTCCAGCAGTCAAAATTATTACCTGCAGTTCTGTTCTCAAAATGCCCCACTGAGGTGTGATTGTGAGTTATGCACAGACACGCACTCCAACCTTTCAGACTGAAATATGCCTGGGGTTCACTGAGTCCATTCCAGATGGTTCCATTTCTTTTTAAAGTGCCCAGGTCAAAACAATAGTCTGTTATCTACTGTTATTCACAATTACCATTTTCTTATCTGCATTTTTCCAGATCTCCATCTTATAACTTTAAAAACACTTATCTGAGAACTTCTGAAGTTCAGTTTCAAATTAAAGAAAATCAAGATCAGCTATTTCAGTTCAATAATTTTAAGGCAAATACATTATCTGTACTTTACACTGTATCACTTGCTTGAATCAATTATTCAGAAGAGCAAAGTAATGCAACAACCCAGCCTTCTGCCTTTCTGAAGCCAAAACACTATATTATACAAAGAGGCAGCATATAGATATAGCTAGGCTCAATGGCTGCATGAGGTTGGCAATGCATTATCTGGATTTACTTATACCTCTTTATTTTTACTGCCTAGAAAGCAACACTAACAAGGTAGCTGATTCAGCAGCTTCAGTAGTAAATCAATAAAGCGATCAGTTCACAAAGCCAAATTGTCCTCTTCTATATGGAGGGGGTGGGGGAGTGGGGGAAATAAACCCAAAACATGAGACAGGAATCGATTAATTTTGATTCATGAGTTCATGAGATTCAACGGAGAAAAGGAGTTAATTCATAAGTATGATCGCTCATACATGTCATGTCCCTTCCACATTATAATTCTTTAGCTGTTACCTATCCATGACACTTAGTCAAAGAAATGCAAGTTCCTGAAGTCATTCTAAAATATGGCATCTCGTAATCAAAACAAAATTTCAGTAGCAGCTGGCCAGTATAAGAAATTGAATTGATGTTCACTCAACAATGGGAGTTTTCAAAGTAAGTCTGGAAGTGACTTATTTCAAGGAGAGAATCATTATTGGAGAAACTGCCTTTTTCACATATTTCTTGATCATGAGGACATCATTAACATGGATAAAGAAAATCTTCACCTCTCATAAATATATTTAGCAGAGAATTTCTCATACCAGTCCCAACATCTACTCTGACTGTACTACTCAGTAAGGACATGGCTGTAACCTTCAGCTTAAGACTGTAACTTTTGCAGAATATCAACCAAAACCAAGTAAATAATTTTGTTATCTCTTCAGAATCTGAATTATTTACTACATGGACAAGAAGAATAAAGCCCAAAGGAATGTAATATTGGTGGGTGTTTCATTAATGCTGATCAAGAACAGATGTGATCACACATCAAGAGCAGATGTGATGTCCAACCAGAGATGGTTTGATATAGGGAGCTAGGAACTAGAAGGAGTTAGAAACAAGGCCAAATGTAAACAAGGCTGCAGGAATTTCCCCATAGAACAATAATATGCAAAAAAAGGACATTTAGTAAATGATATACAGGATGTGACATCTGATTTGACAGGCAATCAGGAAAGAAAGCAGTTTAATTTTTTAGACATGTTGCAAGTCAAGCTGAGAACTGTGAACTCATCTGTGTAGGAGAGGAAGCTGCGAGAGGAGCTAAGGGACGAGAGGGGTCACTTCTTTGCTGGGGGAACTGCATTCTGGATATTCCAGGCTGACACATTTTGTTGTGACATGTCCTGTCAATTTTTGTCACTTGTATCATGTTACATTGTCTCCTGGACTGTAATTAGTTATGACAGAGGAAAACAGACCAGCTGAGACTTAACATGATATGGCACTTAATAGATATGCATATTTGTCAATAGTTTTGTTCAATAAACCTCACTGGCAATAGACTATGGAAAGGGCAAAGACAAAAAGATAAGCTCTCTCCCATGTAGAGAAATATGATAATTTAAATGGTTGGAACCCTCTTAAGAGTCTCATAGAATTATAGAATCGCTTAGGTTGGAAAAGACCTTTAAGATCATCCAGTCCAACCATTAACCTACACTACCAAGTCTACTCTAAGCCAATCAAGGGTAGACTAGACTAAACCATTTCCCGAAGTGCCACATCTACCCATCTCCATGTTTTCATACACAAGAAGAGGCAGGTGCTACTGTTTGCATTCAGGGCACAAGCTCTTCTTGACTGTTCTATAGACTTAATTCATTGTTCCAATAGAGGAGACAAAAGCAAGTAAAGTCGGAGAGTCTCATTCCCTTCACGTCTCACAAGCCTGTGTCCCTGATACGCAGCACCAGAGAAGCAGTCAGCTGTATGCAGGTACTTCCTTTCAGCACTCGTGGCGCTCTTCCCAGCAGAGAAAGGAATCTTTCCTGGCTATGACTCACTGTGCATTGACTGCCCAGCCAGTTTCATTTAACTCCCAAGACAATCACCTGCCTCAGGAAACACTCCAGGAACTATGCAGATGCAGCCATACTGGCTGCCCTGGTGTGCCCATGCAAGTATTGTGCTGCTCAGTCCAGGTCGCTGCTCCCACCCCAGTCTAAGCTGCAACAGTGAGGTAGTGGGGTCAAGAGCATTGTGCTGATATCCGTTCAAACAGGGCTGGAGAAGCAGCATCAAGGCAGATAGAAACAGGTCTTAAAACACAAAGCAGTAGATGTATTCTTTCCTTGGATAGGACAAGGAGAAATTACCAGTGACACCATTGTTTAGCTCAGAAGTTCAGAGATAATTGTCCACAGAAAGCTCAGTTGCAGTAGATTGGCTCAGCTCCATAAGCTTTGACAGCACACTGCTAATTTACTCAGTCCCAGAGGAAATCTTTCTCTATGTCAGTCTAGGAAACTGAGAGTAAAACCAGCTCTTCTAAATCTACTCAGTAATACTCCTCACTTAAGCAGGACACTAATTAAATCTAGCATGTTACCTATTAACTCTATCTTAGACATTCAAAGTCCCTCTCATAAGAGAGACCACTGAGATGGCCCTGCAGTGAACTGTACATCAGAAAGATAGAAAGACATAAATTTCATGGAATCATAGAATGCTTTGGGTTGGAAGGGACCT